GCCGAACCTGCGGCAGGCTACCCGCTGCTGTTCGGTCTATTCTTATAGATGGCATTCGGCTCGGCTGTTCTGCTCGGTCCCTCAGAGTGACCGAGCAGAACAGAAAAATAGTTTAAAAAGTACAAAAAAGTAAATAGAAAAGGATTTTGCAGAGCTAGCAATGACAGCTAGCTCCACCCAACAGTTTTCTATTGGCCGGCGGGTCTGCTGCCGTAAAAAAAAAAAAACTCTCCCGGGCGCTCTGGGGGTCTCCCGCTCCCGACCGGCTCCGTGTCAGAATAAAGAAAAACAAGAAAAAGCAGTGTTTCTCTCCTGGGCGGCCGGGAGCGGGAGACTCTGGAGATCAGTGCTGTCTGGAGATCAGTGTCCCTGGTTAACTGGTAATCAGGGACGCTGATCTCTCTGCAAGTGGCCGGAGCCAGCCGTAAGATCACGGCTGGCTCCCCCCCGCTGTCAATAGCAGGCTGTCGGCCTGCCAATGGCCGGCCGCTCGGCCAGCTTCGGCTTTCAGCGCGGCTCAGCCAAGCTGAGACATATGCCTTCGGCTCGACTGAGCTGCTCTGCTAAGTTCGGGAGCTGTACGGGCTATTGTGAATAGCCCATGTAGCAGCCCTTCGGTTCTACTGAGGTCCTGGGGCCAAAACTAGCCGAAGGATCGGCCGAAGCTACGGCTAGATCCTTCGGCTGCTTCGTGAATAGACCCCTTAGTTTTCTAATTTGTATTGAGATTGAAGTCCATCACAGGAGCAAGCTTGGAGCGGTGACTACTTTACAACACACACAGGGACCATGGGGACTAAAAGTATCCCCCCCTCCAGAAGGAAGGACAGTGTCAGCACCAATTCAGAGATGATCTGAGGGTCTACAGCCGAGTGATACACAAATAAGATATGGTTTTGTTAATAGTTAAAGTACTTGAATGTATTTTTAAGGTTTAGTTTCACTTGAACATTTGAACATGGGAGGAGTTCGGTAAACCTCCTGCCAACCAACCCAGGTACATTCAACTCATCCCTAATATCTAATACAGGGATGGGCAACCTTGGCACTCTAGCTGTGGTGAATCTACAAATCCCATTATGCCTTTGCCGTTATGAGCCATGCCTGTGGCTGTCAGAGTTTTACAATGCCTCATGTGGCTTGTAATTCTACTACAGCTGGAGTGCCGAGGTTGCCTGTATTAGATATTAGGGATGAGTCGAATGTACCTGGGTGGAGGTTTGCCAAACTCCTCCAATGTTTGAATGCTATTCCGAACACCAGTGAAGTCAATGGGAGCCCAGTCTTCAAAATCAATTCTGGCCAGTTCATGCCTCCGGGAGTCAAGCCTGTGGCTGTGGGAATCTTGCAATGCCTCATGGGACTTGTACAGTAGTTCCACCACAGCCAGAGTGCTGAGGTTGCCCACCACTTGTATTAGATATTAGGCATGAGTCAAATGTACCTGAGTTCGGTTCACGGGAGGTTTGCCGCACTCCCCCTATGTCCTTGGTTCTCAACTGGTGGGTCATGACCCGAAAGTGGGTCGCGATCCCGTGTTCAGTGGGTCCCCACGTGCCTTCCACTTTTCTAGTTGAGAAGCTCCTCAGCCTCCCCCTAGCGCAGCACTGTCAGTTCTCACGCCAAGCAGTCATTCAAAATATGCTGCCTGTCGCCGAGCTTTAGTTTGAGGTGGGGGGGGCCTATGATCATGAGGGAGCTACATCCATACGTGCATTGCTTACAGCTCCCTCACGTGTCCTGTAGAGGTGCCTGGACCAGAGTGACGTCACATTCTTCCTCCCGGAACCTCTACAGGGCGCACAAGGGAGCTGTATCAGCAATGCACATATGGCTGGAGCTCCGTCACAGCACAGCAGCCCACACTGGACCCCAGGCTGAGGATCTACTCCGGTTCTCGTAAGGTAGGGAGACTGAGTGGATTAGAAAAAAAAAAAGTAAATTTAATAATTTTTGGTGTGTGAGAATGTGTCTGTGGGTGTGTATGTATGTCAGTGTTTTTGAGGGCCCGTTCATACTAGCACAGTGCGTTAATCGTATAGTACCGTGCGTTCTGGTGTGGGAGGTGTGTTGTGTTGCCATTCATTTGAATCGTACCCCAAACGCACCTCCCACCCACAGTTTGTATGCCCACATCAGAAGGCGAGGTACCCTAATGCCGTGTTTTCCATTGCAGTGTGACTTGGGTCGCGACTTAATAGCCAAGTACAAATGTGGGACCTGAGGTTACACAGGTTGAGAACCAATGCCCTACGTTAATACGAACCCCATTGAAGTTAATGGGCGGCCAAATGTCAAAATCAATTCTGTCCATTTTCAAGGGTAATAGACAAGGGATTGTCAAGGAAAAGGCATGGGGAGCTGAGCACTGACAGGGGCATAAGTACCAATGCACACACAAAAAAAAAAAATACCGTTTGGCGGGGAGCAGTTCTTAAAAGGGAACATTAAAAATGCAAAATGTCTTTAAAGAACATACCCAAGGATGCCCCAAGCCTGTCTGTGATGTGGCACATCTGTACGATGTATACCAGGGGTAGTCAACCTCGGCACTCCAGCTGTTGTGGAACTACAAATCCCATGAGGCATTGCAAAACTCTGACAGCCACAGGCATGACGGCCAGAGGCATGGTGAGATTTGTAGTTTTACCACAGCTGGTGTGCCGAAGTTGCCTACCCCTGATGTATAAACAATGTATAAGCATTGACATTTTCAAATATAAAAAAATGTACCATTTAAATTGCCAGTAAAATAAAAGCAGCCAGGATTCCATTAATCCATCTTCCATACATTGGTGAATGAACCCAGATTCCATTCTTAAATACTACAGACCCAATAGAAATAAAAATGGCGTGGGGTTCCACACCAAAATCCGTACCAGTCCCTTGAATGAGGCTCTGGTATGGCTTTTCAGGGGGACCCCACATTAAAAAATAAATGCTGTGGGTTCCCTCCTAATCCGTACAAGACCCTTATCTGAGCATGCAGCCTCATCGGCCAGGAAAGGGGATGGGAGGCAGTGAGCGTGCACCTCACCCTCTCCTGAACCATATCAGCCCACATGCCCTCAACATGGGGAAGATGCCTTGCTGGGTTAGGGTCATGGTGAAGATGACGAGGACCTCTTCCCTGTAGCCTGTTAGAAAATATGGGTGAGGGGGGGGTCTGTGAGGCGGTGATTTATCATATCCTGGAGCCCCCTAAAAAATAGTAGACATGTGCATTCGGATGTACCTGCAAATCAACGAAATGCAGTTGATTCGGCGGTTCGTCCGTATCCAAAATAACAATTTTTTAAATATGCCCGAATAGACTGGCCGATATTCGGGCATATACGAATTTATCAGAACGCACGGCGGCCACATTGGCAAAATGGCGGTGCGCATGCGCAGAACACGCTGGCGGCTGATATGGCCACCGCTCGTCCTATGAATGACGTCTCCCGATGCCACACACGCGTGGCCTCATGTGACATCATGCACCCCATCTTCAAGATGGCGGTGTGCATGTGCGTTCTGCACGGGGTGCATGATGTCACATATCGCCACGCATGTGCGGCATTGGGAGATGTCATTTTCAGAACGAGTGGTGGCCATATCAGCCGGCAGCGTGTTCTGCGCATGCGCACCACCATTTTGAAGTATATCTTGGTTTACACCAAGATGGCAGCGCCCCCTTGCTTGGGTGCCGCCATCTTGGTGTAAACCAAGATATACTTCAAAATGGCGGCACACATGCGCAGAACGCGCTGGCTGCCGATACGACCACCGCTCAATCTCCAGTTTCTTTGTGCAGTTTTGGATTCGTTGCCTCCGAACCCAAAGCGGCATTAAAATTTGTTTCCTTTGACGAAACGAATGAAATTTTTTTCCATTTCATTAGTTTTTTTGTGATCTGACCCGACAGACTCCACAATGCAAATGACCGCACTCGACTAAATAACCAAGGGGCCAGGAGGTGACATCATTGACCAAATATGGTCATGGCCTTATATGGTCAATGACATCTCCCGGGATTCCCCCCTGAGCTGCACTTGCAGAAACATTGCGGACAGACGGGTAAGAATCCTTTAGAAGAGACAGTCTGATGATCACACATTTCTAGGTAGAGTTCCACTTGAAGCACTATAGCTTGGTCCACTCCCTGTACCTTTCCTGCCATTGGACAGCAAAGATGCAGCAGAAGATTTATGAGATCACCCGCTGTTCACTCTGCTCTCTCCTTCTGTCAGCTGTTTTCAGAGGGCGGTATAGTCCGCTGCCTGTGTGAACCTAGCCTTAAAAGATCTTTGTTCTATGGGGAGAGGTGGGCAAATTCAAGGCTGCAGATATCAATAACTGAAAAACATCTCTTACTGGAGACAGCCAGGCAAAGTGGCATTTTCAGAAGGAGGTCAGCCCTGGCAGCCTCTCTCTTCCTTGGTTTCCTTTGATATGTCTGCTTGACGATATTCAATAAAACCCTTCCAGGTGTGCAGAGGTTAACGATGACGAGTGTTTATTTTGGTTCACGAGCCATGTGACCCATTCCAGCCCCTCCCCTTTGCCCGTTTATGTTAATGGCGGTGTTGGAGACACTCAAAACCGGCCACGTATGTACCGCCACCCTCCACCAATCCCCCTTCCGCTCCACTCGCCGTCCCGCCCCCTTTGAGTTGATGTTATCATTGACCAATAGGAAGTGAACTGCTCACACCATCCGCTAACCAATCATCGACACCTATTGCTAGAACACGCTATGATAGGCCAGCTTATCTTTGAAGGCCTAATGTTAGTAAACAGCGCGCTGAGGAGGAGGGATCTGATTGGCTGCTAGGCTGCTTCCCTTTCGCTGGCTGAAGCAGGACACGCACGCATTGCCACAGGGCTAGACGCATTCACCAATAGAATGAGTCAGGGTTTGTTGGTGGGCGGGGAAAACGACACATGACAAGCAGGAGGGGCTACCAATCGTTGGCATGTTTGTCACCTCTGCTGTGTGTGATTGGTCAGCTGCGGTGTGAGGTGAGGGAATTCTCAGGCTGCTCTGGGGGAGTTGTCTATACAGAAGTGTCATGGCGGCGTTGGCAGTGTTATGAGTTGGTGACTGGCAGTATTGTGTGCACATGTTGGCGGGGATATGGAGGGCCGGGGCCTGCGCTGGTGGCAGCTCGGCCTGTCCGTTCTGGCGCTGTTGCTTATGAGAGGGGTGGTGGCCGGGCTTGTGGAGCACGAAGCACTGGGGAGAGCGGAGGAGCTGCAGGAGAGCAACGCCATCAGTTCTCTGGCCCCGGGAGGGTTCGGGGCGGCTGCAGCCTTCCCGGCCGCGGATGTGACGGTGGAGGATGACGAGGCCTCAGCGGAGCCGGAGGAGGGCCGGGAGAGAACCAGAGCAAGGTGAGGCAGGGGCCGGGGAGTGCGGAGATGGTGAGCCTGGTACCCGTGGATGAAGTCTCCACACTCCCTATATAGTGAGGGGGTCACAGAACATGGCTTTCTCTAACTATGCCTATCCTGACCTCCTTCATCCTGCCATTCCTGTCTCTGGGGGGCACTGATACCACGTGACCCACAGAACTGTCATTCCTGTCCCTGGGGGGCTACACTGATTCCATGTGCCCCACAGAACTGTCATTAATATAGTGAGAGGTCACAGCACATGGCCTTCTCTAACTATGCCATGCCTACCCTGACCACCTCTATCCTGCCATTCCTGTCCATGGGGGGAGGGCACTGATACCAAGTGACCCACAGAACTCATTTATATACTGAGGGCTCACAGCACATGACCTTCTCTAAGGCTGCACCGTTATCATGAGTGCCCCACTCCTGCAGTTGTGTCTCGCACTGCGGCATGTTCTGCAGATGTAGCCCCTCAAAGCAGAGGCCGTCATTCCCTTCATGAGCAGCCAAATTAGAGTCTCTGCTCCCGGAACATTGTTTTTTATAACTTAGTGCAGTAATAAGAAAGCTAGTAATGTTATGTGATGTGTGTGTGTAATATATATATATATATATATATATCAAGTGACTACACTTCTGAACTTCATGTCCTTGGAATGCCAAGCTCTCTGCTGTTATGTGGTACCAGGCACACCTAAAATTCCCACATAAATATTAGGGTGCTTCCCGTCTGTCCCAGTACTGGAGTGCTTTCTATTTTCTTTCTGGGGTGCGTGCTGACTGTCCCTCCCCCCCTGTAACAGCTCGTCAGCCAGTCAGTTATTCACATTCTCTGGGTGTCCTCTGTGTAGATTTCTCATAGTCTATAGCATCATGTGCGCGGAGGGAACTGGGTCTTGCATGGCTTCCAACAGTTTCTAGCAGCTCTGTGTTGCTTAGCTGGGTGTATATTACTTTGTTATGGTCTGAAGTTTCAATTATTTTTTTAGGTTTCAAATGCCGCTTATCTGTAATACAGAAAATAAATATACATAGGCAAACTTTGAACTTGTTAGAATGTTTATGTGAAATTAAGGATTCTGCATCACATCTTTACTATAGTGTCTGCAGGCAATCGTATGGACTGTACAGACAGTGGACACCAACTATCTCTTCCCCCTCCAAGAAAGACATGTCTCAGACATGTTGTCCATTCCCCTGGAAGAGTTGTTTGTGCAGAGAGAAGTTTGCTTTAGTGTTCAAGCTGAGAAGCTTTTAAACAGAGGAGCATTCACCTAAAATAAATAGAATCATTTTGGTGTCCATAGACATGTGATGATCCACAACGGATTTGCTGGTTACACTCGGATCCGGACGCCTGGCAAAGTCTGCTGACTTTCCATGGTCAGCAGATCTTGGTAGAAGATTTGATTTAACCAGCTTTTAACAATCCTAATTGTTTTTCTTTTCCAATAAAATAAAACCAAGTATACTATTCTGATTTCTCTTTTATAGGCAGTAGAACAGAAACAAGCAAGAGCCTGCAGGCATTCAAAGTGTGAAATATTTGGTAGTCCGCTTGAGCTGGCTCGTCCAGTTTCCTTCTGATCGCTATGATTGCCTTTAGTTGACATACAGGCCTGGGGAAAATTGCTTAAAGTGTATTTCCACCTTTGCATCAGATTTGGGAAACCATGTATCTAGACATACAATAGCAGCTGTGATCTTGGTATCGTTTTAAACAGCCGGCAATGGCTGCTCACATACAAAGTCAATCCGGCGTCTGGTGTGCCTATGTGCAAAAATGACAATTGCGCTACACATGTGGCATATCACCGCGTATGTCAAAGTTACAGCAATCATTCTAGGGCCATCAATCACTGTTAAATTGATGAGCGGTAAAAGCTTTTAAAGCCTCGTCTATGGGAAATTTTGGGTATTCACAATCGCACTCAATTTTAAGGCTTGACGTGTTTGGTATCCGTTGACCCGACCTGACCCCGTCTTTTATATTTTACCAAAACATTGTGTATTCTATTTCTGTGCACTAAATTTCATTTGAATGTATTTTATCCTAAAAATACTGGTTTGATAAACATTTGCACAAATACCGTGCAGAAAATTGCAACTAGCATTTCTTTTTATTCTCCAGGGCCTCTAATTTCAGAAAAATATATAATTGTTTGGGGGTTTTAAGCTATTTTCTAGCCACAAATTCAGTTTTTATCATTGCTGATTGTAAGCTCTCGGGCAGGGCCCTCCTTACCATATTGTCTTGAATTGTATTGTAATGTCTTCCTTAAATTGTAAGATGCTGCGCAAACTGTTGGCTCTATATAATCCTGTATAATAATATGATTATTAACGCATGTGCAAAAATTAAGAAATTGCTCCAGACAGCAAATAACATACACATGTACTGACCAAGCCATATGAGCAGCATTTTTTTTTTTTTATTTATGCAATGTGAATGGTGACATGTAAGAAATCTGAAGTAGGTGTTATTCCAATTTCCTGCAGAAGTGTAAATACACTTTAAATCAGGGGTTGGGAAACTCTGGCCTGCCAGCTTTCCATTAACTACAAATCCCAACATGCGTCTGCTTCTGGGAGTCATGCCTGTAACTGTCAGTCATGCAATGGCTTATGGGACTTGTAGTTCCACAACAGCTGGAGGTCTGGAGTTGCCCATCCCTGCTTCAAACAGAAGCCAGTGTCGGAACCTTGGAGCCAGTGGTTTCCTAACAGTTCTAAAGAAAGACGTGCAACATTCACTTGTATGGCACTGCAGCTTGGCAAGGTAATTTCAATGTAATCAACTCTTTATATAATTACGGATTGGTCCCTTTCTGCATTACTGTATGTAAAGCCAACCTTTTACTTTTAGATTTTACTAAAACACTGCATGTGGTCTAAGAGAAGTCCCGTGGGGTTGGGGGGGGGTGCTTGGCTTTGTTGTGCACTCTTTCAGAAGATCACATTTAGGGATGCACCGATGCCGGTATCCCCCGGTACTCGCAGATACTGGAAGTCCCATTAAGGAAACTGGGTGGCGTGTAGACTCTGCTTCCCGATTAGAAAAAGCATGGAGCCGGCTTTCTGTCCACTCAGGAAGCAGAGCACCGTGTAACGATGCGGCACACGGCTTCCTGATTGGCCAGAAAGCCGGCTCCATGCTTTCTCGTCACGAGGTGAGGAAGGAGCATGAAGCTAGTTTCTCAACCAATCAGAAAACTGGGCGCCGCATCGTTACACGACGCCTGGCTTCCAGATTGGCCAGTCTCCCGACCAACCAGGAACCCGGGCAGTGAGTCACTATATGCTGCCCCCTTGTCACAGGTGACGAGGGAGCATGGAGCTGGCTTCCCGGACCACGCTGGATGCTGGGCAGTGTGTAATGACTCGCTGCCTGGGTTCCTGATCACGAAAGCTAAAGCATCGGGCTAGGTATCAGAGCATTTGGGCGTGTACGAGTACACTGCATCAGCACCGATTCTAGTATCCGTATCGGTGCATCCCCAATCACATTGTTTACTTTTAGTTTTTAACTTTATTTGCAGTATTCAGTCTATTTAGGTCTCGGCACAGTAGCAAGTTGTACTGTGGTGACCTGTGGTGCGATCCACTGCGCTGCGAAAAGAGTAGCATGTCTGCATTTTTTTTTTTTTTTCCTCCTCGCACATCACACCTACATTGCGTTGGAGGAAAATGTTGTTGGCACACCTCTTGCTTCAGAAGTTTGTCTTTATTGACCTTCTTGCAGCATATCAGAAAAAGAGCGAGACCCCATTCATACCAACGGACGCTAACGCAAGGTCACCGAAAAATGTATGTGTGAATGGGGCCAGTTCACACCGCTGCAATCCGTTCTGTTCTGTTGCAGTGCGATGAAAAATACGGAAACGGAACAAAAATGGATGCAAACGCACCGGAATGTTAATTTAAAATAAAAAATAAAGATTGGCAAAAAAGGCCTCTGTGGACCGCCAGGGTACCCAGATATTTTATGAGAAAATAAATGGCGCCTCTTTTTTATTTTCTGTTTAGAATGTTTATGATGATTACGTTCAGTTGTTAGGAATAGTTATGCTTTAATGGGCTGTAACATTTACTTTACATGTGATCACATAATTAAATGTTCATATTTGTTTCAATGTACAATGCCGGTTAAAAAGAAAAATGCATATAGAAGTTTTTTAGCCCTATTTCAAAGTAGCAAAAACACAATTTTTTAAATCCTTTTTGCTGAAGATTTTGTGCTACCTTGGTGCAGACGCTTCCTATCCCTATGCACTCCAACAATGGCTGTATGGCCTTTTCTCAGGGTGGTTTGCTTCATAGATTGCACAGTGGACAATCTTTACATGATGTGCGTTGACATGGTTTCTGACTCCATCAGAAGCCTTTGTGACAGGGTGACAATGCAGAAGAGCAATTGGGAGATGAGGACAGGGTGTTGTCACCCCATAAAAGGAAGTAGTTTTTTGTGATTTGGGTTTTCATATAGTTTACCTTTACACTGATACAGTGCAGAATGTGCTGCTCGTGTAATAATTGTTTAGGATCAAGACAACGTGGATTCTGGTCGGAACAGTTTGCGTTTACAGAGAAAACTCCTTAAGTAAATAGAAGTGCAGTCTATTGCTGAAGCATGTGATAATTATGTCTCACAGCAAATACTTCCTGAGCTATGAAGGTGATCGCTATCATTTTACTATGCTGTTTTTCCTCCTGGTAAGCACATTACGTAATGTTTGTGCATGTGTTGTATGATATCTCGGAGAAGATCTGTGAAAGGTGCAAACTCAGATTGTGCGGCTCGGTTTTCCTTTTCTCTTGATCTTGTGTGTGATCTTCCCGTCTATTTCTGCCACTTCTCCTACCTCTGGGAGCAATTACAGCCAGTGTCAGTGAGGGAGCCCCAGATGGGAATTATCAAGTGTTTGCTGGTACTCCCTTTTTTTTCTGGTACTTTTGCTGCAACAGTTTGATTAAAATGCAGAAAGCTGGTAAAT